AGGTATTATAATATTTTATTATACAATGAAACATTATTAAATAGCGGGCACCTCCGAATAGCGGACGTTTTCTTGTGAATTAAGAACAAACTTTCTACAAATTGAACCCTCTGAACAACTAACACCTTCGAATAGTGGACAAAATGTCAGCGACCGAGATTGTCCGATATTTAGGAGTTTCACCGTTTATATGTTTCATTTTGTCCACTATTCGGAGGTGTCCACTATTCAGAAGATTTGGTTTGTAGAAAATTGATATAGTTAGTTTCCAAGAAAATGTCCTCTATTTTGAAGTTCCCGCTATTTAGAGGTGTCAGTTAGGAGAGGTTTTAATATATTATATTGAGTATAATTTCGCTATTCGATAGTTACGACTTACTTGATTCCGCACGTGTCTGGATACAGTTTAAAACATATTGCGTAATTTAAATCGCGCATGTAAATACCTGTACCATTGAAAAAGTTGAGGCTTTCGATTATGCCTTTTTTTTCATCGTGATATTGCAAATATCCGACTGAGGCTGAAGCACAATATTAATTATTGATATATGTAATTTAAATTTATTATAAATCGTGAAATACTGGCTCTGATTTTGGTTATGTAAAATTAAAATGTAATATATTATGTAAATGTTTCGTCGTGAGTTCTAAATTGTATTTCATATGCAAAAAATGCACTTAAGAAAAGCCACATTCATGGAGAAGCTGGGAAATAAAATCTGTACATTTTGATTGAAATAACTGACCGTTTACATAATAACAATAAAAATAATTAATAGTCAATATTCGAATAAATGCAATATCGGCTGCATAGGTACTATATTATACTATGAATATCTATTAAAAATGTTATGAAAAAAAAATGCAGCTGATGTACTATCAAAAAAACAGTAAATCAATAATTGAATGTATAATAAGTTAATTCCGATATAACTATGTATTTCTTTATTATTTTAATAGGAACTTTATAGTTTAAACTTTATCGCTCTAAAAAATTTTCATTGTTACTCAATATAACTTGAACACTTTCACCGTACAAACGAATCTAAAAAATGTATTATGCTTCAATATGCTCGATTCGCTTTCCTATCAGTAAAAATGCTGAAATCAAAATCTGAGTATTTTTTCTCCAAAAGTTGACGACAGACAGAAAAATGAACACCCATCATTGTAAAACCAATTGATATTCATTCGCTTCGCTCAGAATCTAAAATTTCGTTTAGTTTCTATTTTTTTTCTATCTATGTGTTTAAAATTGACGTATCGATTAATAAGCAATAAGTGTGATTATAACATAATATTGATGATGACTCTTGTTTATACCTATAATAGAGCCAGTCAAAACTATTAGAAGTACCTAGTATCTATTCGAATGTCATTGTCTCAGATAATGAGATAAATGTACCTACTGCTATTAATATTATCATAGTTAAACAAGAATATAATACAAAATATATTCAGTGTTTATACAATCCAAAAGCGATAACCTGTATAATATTATAATAACGCCTTACAAACACTTGGAAAGACATCCGTCAACAGTTGATGCGTTAACGGAAACACTCGAAATTAATTTAGGCGTGCCATGACCTAATTTCGACAATAAACAATAATAATAATAAACATGTACGCGTTTACCTAGGCTTTACTTAGGGTTTTCCGCAGTGTTTTTCTTTCCTCGACCCAGCAATTGCGACAGCGTTATGTTCCACAGCTGTTTTTCGATTATTCCGAGCTGCACGAGGGTGACAGTGAGAATTATTGTTTTCGTAATCGGTGACTTTAAAATCGGCACGTCGCCATCCTTTACCTGCAAATACACTAGACGCGATACGAATTCAAATTAAATATATACCTACCTTTCAGTTATAAAATTATAATATCATGCTGTTTGGTTTATTATATAATGATTACAATGACGCTATATTATGTAGCATGTTTTTAGAGTCGAGACTCGAACCGTTTCACCTTGTTCGCCATTTTATCTATTATAAACTCATATTTTTATATTGTAATTTGTTCAAGTGTTAGAGAGTTACTGCAGCAATGTTGCCATATTTTATAATAATTTTTTGTTTGCTTTAAAAAAAAAAAAATTAATTAATTTTTCCAAAAATCATATCAACCATATAGTTTCTATTTAAGTCCTCAAAATGTGGAGATCAACATGTAATAGTAAGTGGTGAGCAGTGGAACAATTATCGGGAGTGTTGGATGTGCAATTCACAAGGGCCACCGGTATTTGGGGGCCCCCAGATCTCATATACGATATTACTACTATAATAAATACTTATTTGTTTTAATATAATCACACTAAATAATAATGTCTTATTACTCTTTTAAGTTTGGAGAATTCGAATTACGAGTACCAGCCATGCGAGAACCCTGTATAAACTTAGGTATATTGTAGGTATTATAGCTAGTAATTATTAACTATTACATGTGAGAAAACAATATTTTATATATATTTATATTGTAAATATTTGTAATGTTTTTAGTTTACTGTGTTGGCCAGATAGTTCACCTCATAAAACGGATAGTTTAATCGGCTGTACTTCGGGCACCATTCGAACCTTGAGAACAAGTAGACCGAGGTCACAGGTATATACCGAATTATTGCCCTTTTTTGTGGGTTGATTAAACGAAAACGTTTCTAAACCGATCCTAAATAATAATGTAATAACAATTTTACTTAAATCATAATGAATTCACAAAAGTATTGTATGCTTTATTTTTTTTAGCTTACTATAAGACATATTCTAATAACTTAGAATATCACCAAGGTATATAATAATTAAATTTCGGAACGCAGTTAATTTACTGATAGTACTATAAGTTTCAGCCGTCAAAAAGTCAAGCCCAAAATAAAAACGTGCAATATTAACATTTTATTAATATAGTGATATTTTGTCGACGGAGATTAAGGTTCACATATAGGTACCAGTTCAGAGTATCGACTATTCGTTCGAATAGTTGTCTACGCTTACTTAGTGATTTTCAACATATAAAAAGATAGTATGTATTATTCAAGTTTACCGCTTTATATAAATATGACAGCCACATAGGTAGTAAAATAATTATTAAGATACACACATGGGTTATTAAATATATTAGAAAATTATACTATCAGCATAATAAAACCGATTGCTTGTCCTTATCAAATAATAATTATTGATAAACACAATAATGGCAATAACAATATTTATATATGACTTTATTACCAAAACGTCGATACTCGTAACCAATAAATTAAAAACAATAAAAATTAAAACTAAATTAAAATACCTCTTAAGATTATAGTCTTATTACATATTATTATAATCATTATCTACGTCATTTCAATATGATATTTCATCAATACCATCGTCCATTAGTAAAATACTATGTGAATTATCCTCGAAAAATGGGTTATTTTCAATCAATAAGTATTTCGTGATATTCATATCACGCAGTTATATTTTGATCACAAATATTATAGTACCCAATATAGCTAATAATAAGTACAATATATAGCTGCTATGGTTTGAATATCAGCCATGAATAGATTACTTTTATCAGAAATCAGAAAGTTTCAATTTATATATTAGTTTCGATTTTTTTTTTTTTTAGGTATATTCGAATACCAAAATTGATGTCAAACGTTCGAAATTAAAACGCTGCTATTACAAATTATGTTCCTGCGTATTTTGGAGATTTTAATGATGGGTAATGAGTTTTATGATTTATGTTCAATAACGACAAAGTTTAAAATACCACTTTAATAATTGTTATCGCTATAGTATATAATATCTTATATAATACGACTGTTCTTACTGTAACCAAAAATAAAAGACTTTTTCTATTATATTTTAATTTTATTTTGAAGTAAAAATCACGTAAGTTGTTTAAAATCATAAGGTATTACACGTGGTGCGTTTTTTTTATTGTGGTGTCCCCTGTAGAAATCCACATTGCAAGCGAACACACTCGAACACCGGTCAACTACATGAATATTGTATTTTACGTAATATAGATATGAATCGAAGTGTTATAATGTGAAGGTATCAACTATTATATTATACTATATTATGCGTGAAAATAATAAATAATTGTTTTCTGTTTTGTTGCTAACCTGCATGGTCGGCTGACACATGTCGTTGATTATATAGGGATGCATATTGGATATACAATTTTTTACATGTGCGTATCGACTAAACGTTAAGAAGACTGGCCCTAAAATAGTAAAATAAAATGTCCAATTTTTTTATTTTATCCTATCGTTCTCTGTCTAATTTTTCTGTACAACATTTTTTTACATTTAAAATAGGAAAAGTATTGTTGTACATTTTGTAATTTGGTATTATTCTATCAGATATAATATTACATATATAAAATAGGTCAAACAATGTAAAAAATATAAAATTGTGTTTAAAAAAAAAAAGGTTATAAATAACTTATATAATATTACTAATGCTGGTAATGATCTAAAGGATATCTCTAGTCTCTACCTGTAATATAAAAAAAAAGTTATAACACAAAAAATACAGCACACGTGCAGCAAAGCCGAGTTATTCAGCTAGTTTTAAATATTAATTTTACTTTATTAAAGACATAATGAGTATACATCTCCATTATAATATTATAATATCATACAGTAGTCTGGACCTCAGTTTTTGGTATTCCTGTCAATATTCTTTCCCGGGAGTTTCTGAGAGTGGCAACTCTATAAGAGATGACGGTGAATATTACCAAAGTCATAATTTCTCTATACACGTATTGACGTATATGAATGTGTGTGTGTGAGTGTAAGCAGCGTGTGTTGATAATTTAAAATTAATTCATCGTTATATTTTAACAATATATTCAAGAAGTCATGACAGTTGTGAAAATAATAAACACAATTCGTTTTCAAATAAATAAGTATATATTATTATAATTTATAATAAATTAATAAATAAAATGGTTTTGTAGTGAGTTTTGTTAGTGTTTAAAATAAATAGAATTATGATTGTATAATATGTTTAACACCCAGTGTTTGTTAATGAATAATCGATCTTGTATCCCTTTTCCACGTCTTCGTTAGGATTCGAGTAATCGTCGCTGACAAATGCCACGTACAGGGGCCCTTGAGTCTTGACTGAAATGGGTAAAAAAAAGGAAAATATTAATTTTAAATTTTTAAATTTCCCTATAATATAAGATTATTTCTGAAATAATTAACGAGCACGATCGGGTATTCCTTAGATCTGTTTTCGTATTTAGCCTGTACCTTCTGTCCCAACTCAATCCAAACAACCACCACCAGTTGGGTCCGTGCATTTAAAAAGAAACAACAAAATAAAAAGAGGTGGTTACCTGTGCTGTCGTCGATGTTTTCCAGTGACTTGTCACAATATTTCGAAGCGAACCTCGAGCCCGAATAAAGACCGTCCGGTATGAGCAAGTAGTCGTTGTGCAATCCACGTTCGGACGGCCGTCTCCTGCTACGCCCGTTCGGCTGCTCTTCGAATTCGTCGTCGTTCTGTGGTGGAGTGGTTTCCCCGGGCGGTGGAGTGGTTCCCGCGGGCGGTGGAGTGGTTCCCGCGGGTGGTGGAGTGGTTCCCGCGGGTGGTGGAGTGGTTCCCGCGGGTGGAGGAGTGGTTCCCGCGGGTGGAGGAGTGGTTCCCGCGGGTGGAGGAGTGGTTCCCGCGGGCGGTGAAGTGGTCTGTCCCGGTGCGAGCGTGGTCAGCGCGGAGTCAGCAGCAGTGTCACAGTCCCGGTCTGTGGAACCGGTCAGCCTCTGGTTGTACGCCATTTGGAATTTCACCGCCTCGTATCTATAAAGGATTGGCAATTGTTCGGTTAAAAAAATAATATAATTTCTATAATTTTAGTGGTATAATTATTGGTACCTATAGGTATGTGTTTACATCGACCTAAATAGGACTAAACGCATGTTTGAAAACTTTACTTTTCTCAACGAAACCCACCATTCTTAATAGGTAACTCTAATGAATATCGATTTGCTTTTTGGGAGTAAATAATATTTGTTGACAACAAAAAAAATGGTGTAGAGTCATATTATTACAATAGTTGTCGTAAACTATTTTCATTTTATAATACACCACATGAATTAAGCATTGACTATTATATTATGGTTTTGTTTTCATAGTGCTGCTATATGTGTTGCTCAATCACTTACTTGATTCCACATGTGTCTTGATTTCTTTTGAAGCACGTCGCGTAATTTAAGTTTCCTAAATAGTGTCCCATGCCTCTGTTGTAGTTGAAGCTTTCGAACGACCCACGTCTATCAGTGAAGTATTGCAAACAACCTTCTGGCGCTAGAGAAAATAAAAGTAAACAAATAATAAATTGACGTCTTATCCGACAACGTGATAAACAAACACTTCGGTGAATATAATAATGTATTGTTATGTTTTGTGTATATATTTATTTAGCTGCAGGTTTGGCGCTTTCTCTGTATTATTCTCCTTACCTAGACTGTACTTGGATTTCGAGGCGTCTCTCTCCTCTTCTTCCCAGTCCCAGACTTGGCGTGCGATGTCTTTAATCTTCCACCAGTTGGTCGACGTTGTTTGGCATTCCAATTGCGTGATCTTCAATTTCCAAAATGGTTCCGGTTCAGTGTAGTCTTCGTCCCTGGTGGTCAACCGGAATTTTAATGTCAACTGTTCCTTGTTGTTGTTGTTGTTATTGTTGTTGTTGTTGCTCCTCGATTCTGACTGCTGATGGTTCACCGGCACGTACACTGCAATAAAAATTAAATGCGTAGTACAGAAAGCTCTCTTTCTCGGCAACCATTATTAAAATCCATATATTAAAATATTATAAATAATAAACTCTTAAACGGAAAATTGATTTTTTTTCCATTATCTTACCGTGTTGACCGGCATTTTCACCGCATAAAACGGGCACGTTTATCTTATTGTTGCCGTTCGTAATCAATGTAAACTCGTCACGTTCACACGTGTACGCTGATTCTGACGTCAGTTTGGTTGGTTGGCCGAGTGAAAACCTCTCGAAATCGATTCTATAATAGTGATATGGTTTGTATAATTTGTATGTAAAAATAATGAAAAAGGGTCTCAGAAAAAAACCAACAAGGCCACGTTTGTATAAATTATGATTATAATATACCTTATCTGGCAAATGTTTCGTCTGACGTTGATCTTGTACGAGCATAGGTCTTGGAATTTTTCAGGGCTTTGGAAATACGCGATGTTTGAACTAGAAGATCCGCCGCATGAATTAGGGGTAACTTAAAAATAAATAAAATATCTCGTGTTGATAAAAGTAATCGAAAACAAATTTAGTTATTCTTCATAGTTCATATTACCTAAATACTATATATTATAAATAAATAATTATAATATTGAACAATCGTAAATACACAAAGCATTCCACCTACGATTAGATACTTTTATATGGATTTGACAAAGTTTAATGTAAAGGAAGTTCAATATTTTAAAGTTTATTACTATTTGTATTATCCAAATTATCTAAGGGTAGCCTTTAGCCAACTATGAATAATTGTATAAAGTACAAGAATTTTAGTTTTTCAAATCTCATTTTATTTATTCTGTTTTTCATTAATTAAAACAGTTGTATTGAACTGGGTCCGTTATTGAACCCAGTGTTTTAGTGTAAGTTGTGAAATTTCAATAGTTTGAACTCCATTGTGGGTTGGCAAAGTAGGAACTTTATGTATTGGAGCAATCTATAGTGCATGTATATAATATAGGAGTAGAGTGCTATGCATTTATAACATTATCCCGAACTTACAATGAGGCAATTGGCATTATTTTTTAACGTTCTCGAAGAATTAAAAGTTTGTACAGTTTAAAATTAATCTCATTTATAGGTACTTTCTATTATTTATATATCGTTAAATTCTATGTCTTTGGTTTTTAAATATAAAAATTTGAAAATTAATTACATCTATTGTAGTTCGTACAATACCCGACCGAACATGGCATAAATAATTATAATGAAATGACCCATACAGGTACATAATGCGTTATTGTAATATAATATTGACAAACGTCTAATTTATCTTAAATATATAATCGATTTTACTATTATTATAATAATTTTATCATCGTTACCCGAACAGCAAGCATCGAACGGGAAACACCTGCCCACTGACTTTCCGTTAGCTTCGGTGCACTCGCTTTGCCCCATACATATGCCTGGTCGGCCGTTCAATCCAAAGCACGAACGTTTGGCTCCATCCAACATATTCCACCCTGAAACAACATCGATCGAAACGGTTTTTTTTTTATTATATAGATCGGACGAAAAATATAATTGAATCGTCCGAACGGTCAATCACGGTGCAGTACAACACGTAAGACATAACCATACGTCACCATTAAATAATAATATAATAGAAGTATAGAATATTATGTATAGGTGTTAATTGTACACCATCGCACACGCACCTCTGCCTTGACGCTGGTCGTCGTCGCCGTCGTTATTCGTCGCCTGTCCGACGACGGCTAATGCCAAAGCCGCTAGAAACCACACTGTCGCGAACATTTTGAACATTTTAAAATTCCAAAAAATTGTGCGTTATTTTATAACGTGAATCGCAAGCCGCGAGCGTAAGACGAAAAACGAAAAACAAAAAATACTCTGTACGTAGGTATATGTGTACACGATGAGCACGTTCGGGCCGAATGTATGGATTGTGAGTCGGGTTCTGTTTTATATAGTCGGCTGATCGCACAAACTGAAGCTTATCTGCTTTAAATTTTTGGAAATTTCGTAAAGCGACCGCGTTTGTGTTTGCTAGTGTCAAATATATTTAGTCGTCAACCCGAAGGTAAACATAATAATAATATATAGGTACCTCCGCGAGAGTTCAGCTAATTGCTGAAGATAATGAAAAATAGAACACACATCCATACTATGCGTATATCGTATCCGGTTCGATCGGTTTCGGCGATTTTTAGAACGGTTGCTTAACATATTATGTGTCTTTTGGAAACACTTTTTTTTTTACTCAACATGGATTTAATATTATACGCACATCACGATATCATCTATAGATAATAATTTATGCATAAATTGTATTTGGCTAAAAATTATTTTATCAATTTTTATTTTTTACTCTGTAGACAATTTCTCACCGCTATTATTGCTGCACGTACGACTGAGCAATTAACAATATACCTATGCATATAATTTAGGTAGGTATGTGTCTTCGCTTTATTTACAATCATCGTAACTCCATTTTTTCGATTTTGGGATAATTTGTGATTAACATTAAGGATAAAACGCATCATTTATATGATATAAAGTTATAACTCTGATTTTGTATTTTTATCCTCCATCAAATTTATAGTTAGAAATCGTCGTATCTCCAATGTATGATTTTAAGACCTAGAAAAAGTCATATCTCCATATGAATGTATGATTACTATAGTAACTAATGATGGTACAACCTTTGCGATTTAGGCTGACGATGTGTTATAATGATCGTAAAATATTTTTAATTAAACCCACATTCATGTAAAATAAAATAATACACTTGCTACGAACGCTGTAAAAAATTGAATGTGCGGGCGTGTGGCATTAAAATAGTAACAGAGGGGTGGTCGATATAATTGCGTACAGTATAAATTGCACTTATATTATTAGTATAATAAAATGATGTGCATCAGCCAATTATAGCCATTTACGCTGTGAACATTTTTATTATTACGTAAGAATTTACAATAACAATAACATTTGGACACTTATATTAGGTACTATGATATAAAATAATAGCTAAAACGGATGTTGTGACTTGTGATGCACTCACGTGATTCAGTAGGTTTACTATTTTATTATTATATGAAAATTAGTTAATAACATCATAACTAACCAAACTATTCGTACATTGAAAATGCCATTCCCTGTTTTACACCATGTCGTTACCTGTTGCGCTTTTCAAAATTCAAACAGCTTTTATACTGTGTATTTCAGTATTTGTATAATATACCTTTTACGTTCAAAACAAAAATAATATCCACAGATATTTTAAATACAAACAATAAGTTGGGAAAGCTCAATCTGTGATCAATACCCACTTTCCAAAAATATTTAGAATACGTTAAATATTTTAAATATTCATGCAAAGCAATAAACTATAATTCCAAATACAATTTAAAAATAATTTGGAGACTTTAATATTTGGGTACTTAATTGTTTTTTGAATAGTACTCGTGCATCTATATTCAATTCTTATATACAATAAGTAATATTGTAATATTTACCATCTTAATATTATCAGAAATAAATTGTTATTAAATATCTTAATATAAAAAATTGTAACTATGTACTGGTAGAGTAGCATACCTAACTATAACTGAAGTGCACAACGGGGATACGTCTAAGGTATTCTAAACTAATGTCATAAAACGATGAGAATAATATAATTTGTTTTTGTTTTATTCAAGATAATAGATAACCTTTTGGCCATTGGGAGTCATTTTTTTTCATATGGTATTTTCAAATTTTTAATGTGAATGATATTTTTTTAACGTATATGTGCTTTCGGCTGGACACAGTCTTGTTAAGTATTCAAATACTTTTTTTTGTATTTCAAATACTTTTCAAATACTTAAAAAATACTTTTTATTTGTATTTTTATTCTAGAATACTAAATACTTTTTTTCATTCTCGTGCTCTATTCCAAATTCCAATTACTAATAATTCATAATGTACTGTTTTAAATTTTGTTTCTAAAATATTATTTAAAATGGTTCTAACTTCCGATAATTTATAAATAAGGTTTTGCCAAAATACAAGCAGATAACAGAATGACTAAACACTGATACCCCTTTCTGTTCCTCACTCCCATATTATTGCATGGCATACAAGAGACTGACCACCACTGGTTGGATTAGCATATATCTTGAATCTTTAAATAGTCTTTTTTCTTATTTAATGGATGGTAGTATGGTACTGTGGTAGTAGTTTATAATTTAAATATAATATATTGGTATTCATGTTATTAAACTTTTTTTTTGTCATATTTATTTTAATTTGTAGTTTGCACAATTTGTATAAAATATTTTTACAATAAGCACAATTGATGTGGGTATACATACGAGGGTTTGGTTGGCTTGATTAAAGAAACTATTCAATAATAGTACTTCATGGCGTGGGTAGAAGTGGACAGTGGTTATAGTCGACTAGTCATTGAATTGATTGAATTATTTGTTTATTAATTAATAACTATTCATTTATTGATTTTAAAATAAAGTACTTTTGTAAGTATTTTGAATACTTTTGAAAGGCATTTGTATTTATATTTAAATACTTGTAAAAGAAAGTATTTGAATACGTATTTTAAATATGAATTACACCAAGTATTCTGAATATATTTGAAAAGTATTCTTAACAAGACCGGCTGGACACAACTTTTGTTTTACCAGCGGATTTCTACTGATTGCGTAACACTTTGTCCATCGCCATAGAAACGCAAAAACATATCAACGATTAATTGATTTTTTTTCAGAGGAAAAATTTGTAGTTGCCCAATGTTACTCGTTTCAAATTAGAATTCTTAGGCATACCATATATATTTATTATAGTATTCACTAAATACGATCACGCTCGCTGAGTACGACCATCATTTTCCGAGGCCTGCAGTGCGCTTTCGGGGGAGGGCCTAGCAATCACCCTCAATTGCGACACCACATCCACAAATCGCGCCTCTTGTCGATAAGGTCTTTATTTGAGTATACGAAGTACATAATGTATGTAGGTACTGCACTATATACCGATAACGCAAACATCCATTTGATTATATATATAATAATATAAAAGTATTACGATTGATGTATATGTATAGACGACTATATATTATTATCGTACTGTATTTATACTTAAACAGTTAAACATACTATATAGTATACGGCGTCGCTATATTTTACGATCCTCGACGGAATCATTATTCGCGTTTCGGACCGACGTCTATATCATTTAATCGACTTTGCGGGGATAATCCTCCGGTCCGCGAGTTTCGGTTCGCTCTCGCGCATAAATATATACATGTAATATATTTAACGAACGCGGTGACGGCCATGGTCTTTATGGTTTATATATCTTATATTATATACATATATATTAAATACGCTCACTGTCGTAGTACGATATCGCGCGTATACTATAAATTATAATAACTGCGCTTTACGAGCGACGTTCCAATCGGAAAATCCTCGGCCGCCATGACTATTATAATAATATAATGTCATAGTATCATATATTGTTATATAATATTAACACACAACGAGCGACGTGAAGTGCGGTGCAATAATAAAATGTATTATATTTTTGTATTTTATACGAGACCCGTTTCCCCGTTGACAACTAGAATACGGGGAAAGAACCCGAAAAAAAAACTGCGATCGGCGGAAGACATCTCACTCCGATAAAGCGCGAAATGGACGAAATGTGTATATTTTATAACTGTGATGATATTATATATATATATATATATACACGGGGGTGTACTGAGTGGTGTGTTATAACAAAAAGTGACGAGAAATAAAAACGTTTTGTCGGCGATAGTAAAAATATATACATATAGGTATTACTTGAACAAAAACCGTTTAAATAATTTACATAAGAGATTTATGGCGAGTCGGAGACTCATATTATTCTAGACGCATAACGTCGCTCGATGGACTATTATCGATGAGTATAATAATACTATATTATAGGAGGTATGTTTTGGAAAATACGATTTTATGGGACACGTCACGTTATAAAAATACGAGTTTTCGAAATAATAAATACGAGATGGGATGTATTATATCGCGTCTTACCCGTCTCGTATATATATTATATTATATACCTATATTGGAAAATAATATAATTTATAAGTTTATGACTGTCTGCAGCTTAAGGGTTTTCATTCCGTCCAAACGTCATGGACAGGATAGATTCGGCGTACCATACGTTCGTTATGTTATTATTTATCACGTCGTTATATAGAGTTATTTGGAAACGTATAATATTACACAATATATTGTTATAATCGACGGGGTAAATATTCTATTCACGTGTCAAAAGTCCGATGCAGGTGTACAACTGGCCTGTAGATACTATGTTGTATGATATATATTTTATAAATATATAATAACGACCAATGAGAGTACAACTTACGACTTCAAGTGTTTGAGTTATTGAATATCAAGAAGAAAATCAATTTATTTTACGCTGCAGATACGACTGCTGTAGCTGGTATTTGGTGATATTATATTATGTACATTATATTTAGACTTGGGGTATAGTAGTAGATAACCGGGGATTCATAACCAGGCTTACTATTTTCTTAATTATTTTGGACGTAAATTGCACCCAAACATCCATTTAATTTAAATATTTTCGTTTGTAAATTAGCTACAGCTTGCCTAAGTAGCGGATCAAATCTAAGTATGTTTTGCCTTAATATTCATCATTGAAAACAAAATTAGTGTATTGTAAAAATTAGTTTCACGTAGTTTTTGACTTAAAATACTATATAGTAATATTGTTAAAATATATTAAAAAAAGTGTAGAGATGCATTACAAAATGTTGTCATATTTTATTCTATATTTTATTTTCATAAAAAATCAAAATAAAGTGTGTTAAGTTTTGAACTGCCTCAAAAGCACTAAGCTGTAGTTGTATAGCCAAACTGCGTCAATATACGTGTATCGAAAATCGTCAGTGAAAGTTGTACACGTTAATTAAAAATGTATAGGTGGAAAACTGTTATTTTCGATACATCGTAGTTTTCTTGAAGTATTCGCTTCAACATAAGATATTATTTATAATATAAACATACACATTTTCGTTTGTATAGTGAAAACAATTGCCGAATATAGTACATACAAGTAATTATTATAATTGGTATTATTCGTCGTCGTCCGTCATGATAAAATCGTCACTAAGAGAAAACTATTCTGTACCTATACCTATTTAACTATATTTATGGGTTAGTGTAAAAGAGTTTCGAACCGCGATTTAAGTGCTTTTAAATGTATTATAATATCGTAGATGTACCTCTATACTATACACAATTTTACTATGTGCACCTGTAGAGAAATCTGAACGGTCGAAAACATTACGCGGAAGACATTTAAGTGTTGTCCCGTCAGTCCGTTGTAAGCGATATTCGCAAACCGCAATTATAATTGTATTAAATACCGTTCGATATAATATACCTTTTCGTACATATTTAATTTATAGGACCACGCACTGCATAGGACCAGGCCATTTTTCCAGCGATCGTCAGACGAATCTAACTGTACCAGACAACAAGAAAAAAATATGTTTTCCACAAAATTTTTAATCGCGTTCGCGCTTTACAGTCTGGTCTTGGACACCGCTTCGGGAAAACCGTTTGCCGGTAAGTGATTTCGGTCGAGAAATATACTACCTATTCGAAATTTTAATTAATTTGAACATTCGGTGTATTTATTTATTTATAATAATATTGTGTATACTATTTCAGAAGGACTGATAGCGTGCAAGAGAAGCGATCCGAAATTGGACGAATGTCTGTTGAACATCCTCAGACAGACTAAACCTCAGCTCATGCAAGGTAAGTGGTGAAAAAAGAGAAGTAGTTATTATGTAGCTGTACAATGCTGTTTATGTAATTTTTTTTTTTTTTTTTGAGCATCTATCTACCCTCGGTATAGTGTGGTTAATATTGCAGCGATAACTAATAATACTGTAACAATAAATTGGAATCCCCATTCTAGTCTGGTTAAACTCAATACTTCAGTTACTGCTTCAGCAATACATTTTTATTGAACTTTACTAATTTCCTTAAGAGGACGTTAGTACGTTACCCATGCGTTTGAAACAGCAAATATTTATAATATGTCAATTCATTCTAATAACAAAACTAATAGAACACTTTTGAAGTTTGTGAACGAAAATTGTCTTTGTCGTATACGTGTGTAAGACATGGGTAACGTCCTCTCAACCCTACTTTTTGGTTAAATTACTTATACGCTCAGACGTTCGATCATTTTGCAGGTAACCCGGAACTGAATCTGCCGCCGTTGGACCCTGTACACATCACCAGGGTTTCAGTGTACAAGAACTTGCAAGACATCCGGGTGACTGGAGAGCTATCCAACTTGACGGCTAAAGGCGCCAGTTTGATTACTTTCAAATCTTTAAAGTTCGTATATAAATAAATATAAATATGTATACCTATGCAGGGTGTAGGTACAGATCAGCAACATAACACTATACATAGTAGTATAGTAGGATATCGATTATGTACAGATAATGGGCTCTATTATTAATGTATTTGATAATGTACCATCGATATAAAACCTTCATCTAGATTCCGATATCTCAATGATATTTCAATAATAGCGTTGGTATACATTTTCCCCGCATCATCACTATTATATTATATTGCATACAAATATCTCATTTTCACATTTATATTATATATAGATATACATTAAATTATGATAGATATATATTCATTATATAGCAACTTTCATATAATGTATATTTCACAATGAATAGTAAAAAATATATGTGTGCCTCTAATGAAGGAGTTACCTATTATGCAATTGTTTTTTTCAAGAGTACGCCCTGTACCAGTGTACCACCTATGTGTATTATATAGTACCGAACATCAAATGTTGGTATCGCCAATCTCTGTACAACCAAAATGAAATTATAATTCATTTTCGTTGTTTTGTGCACCACAGAGTCAATTTGAGAGCAAATACGTGGGACATGGTCATAACGATTCCCCTCGTCACGTTCGTCACGAACTTCGATCTGAACGTCACGTTAAATGTTATTCCCATGTCCGTCTTCGGGAATGGACTGTGTGACGGAAAAATTAGTGAGTCTTTGATTATTATTATTTATTTTTATTATCAGAACCACGTCCGTGGTATCTAAGAACATTGGACGTATAATATTTATAACAGTTATTTTAAATAATAATATAATTTGATGTATATTGCATGAAGAAAAATGTTTACGATTACATTTTAAAGTTTTTACATAAATTACATAATGAATGTATACAATGTTATTTGAAAATCTTTGAAAATCGTTGTATGTATTGTGTTATTATAGATCAATTATTAAGTACCTACTTAATATGTATAATGGACATTACTTTATGAACTCTATACGTAACCTATAAATCCATTCGCAATAATCGGGAAATTGTTTAAATATAATTTACACGAAGTGTCAAACAAAGTTTAATCTACTCGCAATATCACTGACTATCACTGCCTATAA